GTGAATTTATTTACTGGAGTTTTTTGATTGGTTCATTATTGCCATATGGTTTTGCTTCGAAAAACTTAACAGCAAAAATTAAATCGATGAAGAATAAAAGAGTTAATAGATTGTAATAATGTAAAATTGAAAATTCTTAGCGAGTATCATTCTAAAAAAAGCTAAAACAATATTTGATAAATCATTGATAAACGCTGCTTAATGAAAATTTTGAATTAATTAATTTTTGTTTTTAAAAATAGGGGTGTGCGATAGACTTACCTCCACGTGGTGCACTCTGGGCAACGTATACTCATACGGCAAAAAGTCTATTAACTGGCAGTTGATTTCTAACTTTAAACTACCATGACCTCACTCTATGTCATATTCGACTACTTCCACAGTACTCACCTCACCTTTTTTCTACTTTTAATACCTTCGTCTTTAAAACCCTCTTCTGTTCCCCCCCCCCCTCCCTTGATGTTCCTTTCCCCCTGTGAAACCTAAATTCATCTAAATGGCTAATGATAACCATCAAAACGCCTGCCATTTGATATAAATAAATAACTTTTTAAAGTTGCAGTTAGAGCTCCAAGGTAGAAAAATCAAAGAAAGAGCTCACTTGGGCGAGAGAAGTCGATCAATTGGAATTGGATGTCTAGTGAAGCGGTCCCTATCGTAGTCTCCGTACTTCGCTTGACACGCGTAGGAGGCCAGAAGCACAGCCGTTTCTGGGGGACAGGGCAATTTGTCCTTTAAGATGGCTTCTTTTACCTAAATTGGATGGGAAATTTGGGTTAAGTTAGCTTCCGATTGGTGGCTCCACTTCTCGTTCATTCTTCGTGCCAATTTGTGGAACTTTTCAATGATAATGCATCATTTTTTTTCCTCGATTCATGGGAGAAGCCAGGGCATTTCCAAATGGAAAAAATAAATACTTCACCAACGAATCTCGTGTAAAATTTACCGAAAAAAAGATGTTGGCATTTTTGTTAGAGACATATTTTCTGTCAGCATTTGGTTTTTTTTAATTTTACTGTGCTTTGGCAAGACTACTTGGCGATATTTCGGGACCTTAATAAGCCAGTAATTTAGTCACAGCTTCACATATAAAGCCCCATATCTTTCCCATGAAAAAGGGGTGTATTTTCTTTCCGATAAGCCTTCTGAGAACAGTTATTTACTTTTGCCCCTATTTGTAAGTGTACATTTTGGCAAAGTTAGACTGAGATCCAGTTTCAGAAACGCTTTATCATTACAAAAATAATTTTTAATTGAAAATAATAATAATAGTAATAAAATTGCCATAAAAATCCAGATGCAAAGAACAGGAACACGTTTTTTTTTTGATTTCTGCGAAGGCTATGCTAAAGTATGATCCATTGATCCATAAACGGAGATCAAGAATTCTTGCTAGTGGTGGGATAATTTCTCCCCCCAGGGACAATAATAGAGTTGTTTTGATTTAAGAATAGATGTTACGGAAAGAAGCAAAAGTGGAGAAGTAATGGGCAAATTAGCATTTTAACCCCCCCCCTCC